CTAGACCACTGAGCCGGTATCCAAATCTTCTTTCTTACTAGGATAAATTCTGGTTAAATCCATGGTTTTTAAACTTTCAGAAGTAGTAATAAGAAGGAAAGGTTTTTATTCGTAAGGATATCATTTACAGTAGTATTTTTTTTAGATATTTTTAATACAAGGATTGTGATGATGACTAAATTTGAGAAAACACCTAAAATTCACTGATTTGAATCCAGGATTTTTTTCACTTTGCCTCTATTTCATTCATGTTGTAATAATTGAAATTGAAAAATAAATAAATAAATTAGTTTCTTTCTTTCCATTTGGTTTTCTTCAATCCTAAGTAAGCAGAGAGTATGTCTAAAGCAAACGCCTATGTATTTTTATTTACATAGTAGATGGACCATGTTTAGTAGATAAGTTATAAAATTTTGTTAATACAATGTAAAACTTCATACACAAGTAATATGGATTCTTTCTCAAACAAGAGACTCATTTAATTTCAGTTGTTATTATCTAACACTATAATTTTTTCAGATGAGCTATTTTTTTATTTATCTGAACACATAAATATTGGTACAAAGGGGCAGTGAATACATATGCGCCACAAAGGTCACTTAATTTGTGTGACGGCTGTGATACTACCCGGGTGCGCAAACCGAAGTAAGTGGTTTTCCCAGGGGGCAAAACCTCGAGCTTTTGACCTGGATTTCTGGTCCACAAGGCAGTGGGGCAACGTCAGGAGATGCGGTTCCATGGTAGCCGGTGACCAACAGTTAGTTCATTATCGATTTGTTCCCTTAGGATTCTGGAGCCCATTTGCACCATTGGTTTGGAATCAGGGTTTTCTACCCCCCCTGGATGGACCCTCCGCGTCCACCAACCCGGTTAAGGCGCAAGATATTCGCTTTTTGTCCTCTCACTTTCGTAAGCAACGCACCCACTACGAGAAGGCAGTGAGCAGGACTTTCTTGGCAGTGGTTGTATACACGCGACCATGTGAGAGCATTTCGAGAAGGAGAACTGACTCTCCCCACCCTCAGCCGTACCAGGTCATTTGAGGGAGTTAATTAAAAGCAGATTAATTATCTGTTACTTAATCAGAATTTAACAAAAAATTTAATGGATTTTGTTTAGCTCATTGGATGACGTTAAAAACGCTTATAATTTTAATAGTGTAATTCTATCCACTATTCCACTTCTAGTACTTAAATATGAACTGAAAACTTACTTTATGTAACATGTAAATTATGATAGATTTTGTTCATGCTAAAGTGTTTAGGCTAATAATTTTATGAACTGTAATTGGTAAATTACATCTGAGGCTTAATACGGTTTACGATCCTTCATGGTATGATATAAGCATCTACTGGTACGAAAATAGAGAAAAACAAACATTAAGTTCAGTGTATTTAAACAATTTGTAAGGTTGAATAGAAGCCAGTCAATCAATAATAACTAGAAACCAGTAGAGTAAAACAGATCATTCAGTAAGAATTGACAATTAATTTAGAAAAATCAGTAGACACAAACTTTATGTCGGATTTTAAACTCGTATTTGAATAATAAAAGTCGTATAGGTGCTACCGATATGTCTCACCCATAAGCACCACTTAAAACTAAGTTTGGGAGTTAGAATCGATCTTCAGATATACTACTCTAATGTAGTTGAGGATGATAGGAATTATTTTGAACTGTTATTGGTTTAGGCCACTACTGATACCGTTTGCATATTTATTAAAATTCTTGAACTATTACACCCGTTTCACTTTGCTGTGAAACTCAGTAGCTAATAGAAGTAATACCTGACAGTCAAAGTGGGTATTGGTTATTATGTATTGGAACCTGATTGCATATTACATACCATAAATGAACAGACTACCTGTTAGTGATTCAAATTAAAAACTCTCGATTATCTTAAACTCTTATTGAGTTCAAACCAATATAAAACAATCAATAGTCGATAGTTAATTTTTCTTGACATAAATGAACTTCAAATCAAATATAGACATGATAATCAAACTATATAACTGTCGTAGTCAGTAAATGATCAGTATTCATTTAAATGACTTTTGAAATGGCATTTCAAATGTTAACGATTAGCTGAGTGACTGAATAAAATTGCTAGGGCCATTTAAATATTTACCGTGAGAGATAATGAACGGAAATTTTTATAAAGCTGTTTTTTGAATCTTACGCACCACTAGATGTCTAGACTTGCTTAACAGGATTCAACCATAATTGAAATCTAAACAATGTATCATTTGGTTGATATCTAAGAGCATTTAAATTACATAGTTTATTTCTTCAAAGTATCATAAGCACCCTATAAATTTCACTGGTAATATTTCTTAGCAAAATCCAAATATATTGGTAAACATTAACTTTTTCGATAGATGGTAGACAAACATTACTAAAAAGTGGCATAAAGACAGAAACTAAAAGTTAATGTCTTTGTTGTCTCAAAATAGACTAATTAAAAAAAACGGTCTCATCCGCAAAGCCCGTTATGTAATGTATTTTATTGCTGTTCAGCATATCATTCCGATGCTGGTAGTATGAATACTTTCTCCACAAATATTAGTTATTCGTCATATACTGTAAAATTTTACGATAAATACAACTCGTGAACGTAATTATAGAAAACTTAGAATATAAAATAATTCACATTTAATTTAGTTAAACAGTTTCCGGATATTAAGTTAATTTGGAAATAGTTTTCGTCACTAACTGACAGTCACTGGAGAGGTATTGGAAACCAAGAAACACAAGATATCTATTTTATTCGATTCTCATTAATAGACACACCTGTAAATTTTCACGGTATCAACTTCAACATATTTAGGTTTCATAGCGAGTACATGACTTTACACCTCTGATTCATAATAGCATGACCAAAATATAATGTCATTGGGAACATCCGTCTCACAGCATTATTGAAATTAGAACATATATAGGCAAACAATATTATTTATATGCATATATGAAATTATTATCAGAAGGGATTGTGTGGAGATTTTATAAATTTCACTGGTTGAAATCATGAATCCATTGAAGCTAGACCACCATGGAAAACCTGGAAGCACTGGACGGCCGTTTCGTCCTAGTATGGGACTCCTCAGCAGTGCGCATCCACGATCCCGCTCCTCGCGAGATTCGAACCCAGGACCTATCAGTCTCGCGCCAGGCGCTTAACCAACTAGACCACTGAGCCGGCATCCAACGGTGTTAATGTCTAATTTCAACCAATCCACGAAGTTGCCTTGATCGGTTTAATAATTTCATTTGGGCATATAAATATTCTTGTATACTAAAGTAAAGCCCAATGATGATCTAATTTAAAACAATAATGTTCGCTTGTATATGCTGTTCTAATTCATGGGATCTTCGGAATTTTTTATATTGTTGAAATCCACTGGTTACAACTTCCGACTAGAACTTTAGGATTCGTCTTGAGGATGATTAGGCTTTGCCTATGAATGTAAATAAAAAAATAGTAGTCGGTTATAATTTGGTTGTAATTGAACTCTGAGCCACTAGTAGTCCTAGTGGCCGATGAATAAATAGAGCTAGTTTGGTTATTTTCAAATTTTTGTATTTGTGGGGAAGAAAGGAAAAGTATTGAGATGTTCGTAGGTATTTCACCTTTTTACGTCTTAGAACTTCTAAAAACTGAAATCCTAAGTATTGACTATTTTTCTCGTAACAATATTTACATATTTTACCTCACAATTCGCTCCTTCTTAAGTGGTTAAAATTAGTTATTTTGTTATATGTCGACGGGATAGAAATATTTTTGTTTGCCACGGTATTCCATCATTATACGATCGGTGACTGAGACTTTACCACAACTGAAGTAGATATTCGATCGATTAGCTACACACAGTCTGGATCACGTAATACGAAATACACGATTTAAGATTGAAAATAAAGAACTTGATTGTATTATTATATTATTTAACACAGTTGTAGACAGTCTACATTCAGAGTCTAGAGTGGGAACCAATTATAGGAAGAAAGTCACATATTTAATGGCTAGCAAGCTGAGAGTGTCTTTTCACGTTCATAGACTAATCGCAACTTACACTAGATGCGTATCACATTAATTACATAAAAGCATGTTTATTGTGCTTTTCAGTCATCACCAGGCACTTTGATTATCGGCAGATTCAAATGTAAATAATCGTAAGAAAGAATTGTTTTATGTGTACAAGTGAGAACATATGCGTTTGACGATGAGTGAAGTACCATATAGTGAACGAAAGTCAGCTCGTTAGATAGTCGAAGAACAACTTATATTCGACAATACTAAATGAAATAATGTGGTAATTTGTTTTTGTGAGAATTAATATTTGCTTTTCGTATCTTCACTTACAAATGGGATTCATGTATATTAAAAAAATAAACACGTTAATTTTAAGTGACCACATTTTAGTGATAAAAGTATGTTATAGAGCTAGTTATTCACTAAAATACGTGTTGAAAGAGATAATGAATACTAACGGTTATTCATGATATGCTATCTTGGCATTTAGAATAACAGAAAAGTCGGATAAAAAGTTACTATTTAAGTAACTAATATGAATTAAAATAACAAATTTTATTAACATAGATAAATTGGTGATACATTATTAGTAATTTTCTTGAAGTATCTAAATTCGTTTGATAAACACGAACTTTGTCTCGTTAAGTAATGGTTCTACATGAAATGCTAAATGGTTTTTATCAAATAGCGGGAAAATATGGCTTGTAAAGTAATTAGGACAGTGCCATTGACTCATCACTTATACCTAAGTTTTGAACATTGCTGTGATTGCTGGAGTTTTCCTCGATAACTTATTATTCATCGAAATTATTGCATGCTTTTGTACAATGATATACCTACCTGTACTTTCATACGTTCTTTTCTTTCATATATATATATATATATATATATATATATATATATATATATATATATATATATATATATATATATATATATATTTATTTATTTATTTATTTATTTATTTATTTAGGGAAAAGAAACCTGGAATATTATAAATCAGACAAATTACTCAGATAGTTCTCAATCTTTAGACGAAAGTGAATTACAATCGTTGACTCATCTGATAAATGAAAAAAAAAATGAAGACAATAATTTCTTAAGGCTTAAAAACAATATCCATCCACAATTCCAACATTTGATGAAATCGCCAGTTAGACCATCATTAGTATCTGATAAAAACCCAACAACTGAGGCAGTATTATCTAAATCAGGATCAATACAGGACAACGATTTAATTCCACAATCAATATATATGACACATTGTATGAAACAATGTCTACGGACTGATACTAACTCATCCTTGTCATCATCAGTATTATCATCTTTATCAGCTGAAGTGTCTGGATCGGAGATCAACCATAACTGTATATTGTCAATTAACACAAGCAACCACTTATCAAACCTTCGTTTAACTAGACAAATGAAAAAAAACAATTTGTAGCATGCAATCTTGTTGGTGATATATTCTGGTTTGTTAGTGAGATGAGTGTAATGTTGAAATATTCTGTACAGACTATATTTATTTGTCTTATACTTAACTATTTTTTTGCTCATTTTTTGATCTAAAACAAAAAGTAATTGTTTCGCAGTCAGGTTACTCATAAATGTTCTGGTTGTTGATTTTAAAATATTTTTGTACAGTTTGTACAATATTATTTTATGTAGTTGGCTGAACACTGCACTAGGAGGGACTGGGCAACTATTAAGTGAAACGGTTACACGTCCCGCATGTATTTAGAATTATTACTGATCTGAAGACTGCTGATCGACCTTTTGTCGGAGGGCGTAAGCTCAAAGGTCAAGTCTAAAGATATTTGTGATAGTGTATTTCGAATTACAAACAAATGAATGAACATGTAATTGGAAACAGGGAGGAAGTCAGTCAGCAGACAGGTAAACATATGAATGTATATTTATTTAATGGTTTCGTTAGATGGTTTGGTTTAGATAAAATTAGTTTTATGCATTGTACATAGTAATTACCCACAGATGAACTTCTTGGGTAAGTCCTTATACTGTCTGCTGTGACTTTAAGCCCGGTTAATTATCACGCGATTTATTCGCCAATCAAAATACGATTTATACAATCTTAGTACTGCGCCAAAACAATGACGTTCGACCGGTATGAGCACCCAGCGTCTTTATTGGTCCCTTGTCCTCCTAGCTCTTCCAATTGGGTCCAGAACACCAATACCAGCTTTCACTACGCGAATAATTTATTTCAAACATACCTGGTTTATATAAAAGCCAAACGGACCATATCACACCATAAAATAAGAAATAACATATATACAAGATCAAGCCAAAAAGTGGCTGTGAACGTGGGAGACTGTAATTAGTAAACTGAGTATAATTTAAGAATAGTAAATGGTATCATAATAGTCTATGGGTCAAAACAAAGCTTATAATAAGATAAATATAAATATACATAATCTAGTTACTGAATATTTATCTAATAAGAAAATATATACAATATTAGTCTATTAATAGTTCTCGGAAGTTACTCGTAATTTCAATGCAAAACCCTCAGATCCGAATAAGACATACCAGCTAAATATGCACATCAGATATCGTCGCTACTTTGGTAATCCGCAGCTCATTCAAGACACAAGTTAATGAGTACAGTAATGTTGTCTTGTATAATCCGGAATCAAAACAAGTAAACCTCTCCCATCCTATCATAGCCATCTTTGTCTTTATCAATAATCTACTAGGTACACAGGAATTATAACACAATCTACGTTGGTCAGATTTTTTCACACCACGTTCTCCACTGTAGTTAGCACAAATGGAGCTGTTAATTTGTTCCATTATCTTAAGGCTGACAAAAGATTTCATAACCATGGTGTCATGAACAACAGTTGCAAAAATTTCCTCAATACCAAACTGTGTGGTGACCCGGTAACAGGAAATTTTTTCAACATGAGAGACACCACTGACCAAGTGACTGTTGATAAGTATCTCTTTGAACAAGATTCCTCCCCAAACTGCTATAGTATATTTAGAAAGTTTTCTATTTCACGATAGTGCTTGTGAGAAGCTTTATCTTCTGCAGATCGGGGTAATACAAATAATCGGAGATTCAGTCTGGAGAATAAATAATACGACAGTGAAACCGCAAATCGGAGATCAACAAAATGAACTTGGCCAGATCATACGACTATAATGATCGATGAATTACCACAGAATTTTCCCAAGGCATTTTCCATTATAATAACATATTGACGGCGAAAAGTCAGTTTTAGGTTAGTGATATTGTCAGTACACCTGTGTAAGAACTTCAGAAAAGCCAGAAATTCTATTAGAGACAAGGCGCTTATATATGCAAATCTGATGGTCCACACCTGTTAACAACAATTGAAGCAAGTAATAGTGGCTGTTTACTGTACATATTTGATCACTCGAGAAGAGTATACTATTTCGCCATTACTGACCAAGAAGTGAGCTCTACTTTAGCATCATATGGCTGACAACAGATACCGGTGTACAAAACGAAAGGATGTTTGTTAAAAGCCTTCTTTAGAAGTATCTAGGGGTGCTATTAACAAGAGAGTTTGGCTTCACACTCTCTTTCGCTCTGGAATTCATATATTTGTTCTGGGACACCAGGAAGCCTCACCATGGAAGGTCCGTAACGATTTTGCATCCCATAATTCTTTTAAAAAAACAATTTCTCAAAAGATTTGTAATTACATACATAAATTTTTTATTTGATTGAGGAATTACTTCAAGTTTTATCTTTTGATCGGTTTGAAGGTGCAAAGCTGTTGAGTATTCATCTCTCAAGATATTAGAGCTTAAAAATTTGCATTTTACAATATGGTAGGTTAAAGATATTTTTGGTCGAAAGAAACAATATATTCCTGAAACCGGATGCTATCAACGACAAGATGGCCTAATTGACTAAGTAGGGAATGTAAACAATTGAAACTAGTATCCAGTTGTTGTTTGTTTAGAATGTCAAGCCACCCAAAAAAGAGTTTTTCAGCTGGCCAGTTACAAACTGTTCATCTTCAAGTAGTCAGAATAAGAAAGATTGACTGGTCAAATAAGTACTGGCCAAAAACAATTATCGTCCCTTAAGACCATGTAAACTTATTATTATGGTGCTGAGGTTTCGAAATCCACTAGCCTCATAGTGCTGTGATGCACTTGCTGTCGCCAATGAAGTGTTTGTTACAACTAAATAACATCTGAAAGGCAGATATTTAAGGGTCAATAAAATAACACCAAACATTGGTAAAATTATTTCGTCATTTTTTAGACAACTGAGCTGCTGAAGGGTGGTAATCAAATGTTAATTTTTTATATTATCTCATGATAGTCTGTTGTAAAGAACGTGGCTTAATTGGCTGACAGCTTGATTATAACCTGTGTATGTTACAGTAGGGTTGGTGCTGATGAACAATTTTTTTGCATTATTTCACACCTAATTCGAACTATAAAATCAATACTTTCACTGCTTTCTACCTAACCTGAATGCCTATCTAATCTTGACTACTATATTACTAATGAGATAGCTCTGAGGAGCAATAAACATCATGTTATGCTAAAGTCCGTATGTAAAAAAGCCCCTGAGGACTACGTAAAAGGACTCGACATCTGGTGCATGACAAGAAAAACATTACCGATAATATTTTGGCCTGTTTCCTCACATTCGTTGGCAAGCATTCATATTGATTACTAAAAAACCTCGCTTTCCCAAACAAGCCAATTTCATTGCCATGTGAAACTATTAAGTAGTTATTGCCCAGTAATTTACAATGCACCAGTTCTGAATCAAATGAGAGAAAGATCTAAATTCAATAGAATGTCGGGGTACAAGAACCAGAAATTCAAAGATTTCAAACGTGAACTACAAAACAGACTGCAAAATGCAACTTCATAGACCAGCTATAAATTCAGTTTTGTGACTCACTGGTTGCTGGAATGACGCCGACTCCTTATTTCTCAGAGACTAAACACATCAAAAACTCAGACCAGTTAATCGGATGGAAGTAGACCCTAACAGCATGCATTGCAAATCTGCCCAAGAGGGAGTTGTTGGTGAGATGAAGATAGGATTAAATCGAATTCCATAAACAATTATGTTGAAGGCTATTATGCTGACCAATCTTTAATCTATTGGTACTTGTGGATAAGTGATGAACCCTATGGAATCTTCTTGTATGAGAACTATAAATATACTAATATTTTTCCTATTGTATCGAACTAGTAAACTTGTTTTGTCTTGGAAAATAATTACGTTCCTGTCCAGTGTTCTAATCTGGGTACTAACTGAGTGAAACATCTAAAGAATACCAGGAATTAGAATAAAACTGAGCCATATAAGGAAGACTTAATAGTAATATTCATGTTTTAAGAAGAAGGAGATCTGATAATTTGTGGTCATCAGCATAGAGAAAAGATTTATAGTCTTTTATGTGGTTATATGAATCATTGGAAGATATTGTAAGGAATATTAGAACTAGCTCACCAGGCTGAGTAATGGTATCAGTTATAGGAATCGGTTTTAAAGCTTGTGAGTTTATTTCCACCCTGTGCACCCGTGTTATAGAGAAAAAAATCAAGCTATCATAAGGATGTCGTTTGAAATCATAAGACTATATTCACAGGAACAATAGACCTAGAAAGACCGTGTCCAATGCTTTCCACAAGTCGAACCTTAACACAGAATGATGAAAGTGTGGTCCTTAAGTTCAGTAATTTTATCACAGAATTTTAGGTATCAGATCGTACATCATCGAGATTTTATGGAACCATTATGGGTAGCAGAGATGTACTTTTCAGCTAGAGCGTCAGACAGCGGGTCCTTACTGTTACTTCGAAAACTCGTGAGATGATAGATTCCAATTTGATAGAGCATGAGTTAAGCATCTGATTTAGAACAGGAAAAAAATATGCTTAGCTCTATACGCATCTGGATAATGATGGTGTGATGGAAAAGTTGGAAAGTATGAACAATAATTGTGGGAAGAATCGATCAAGGTGCTTCTAGGCTAATATAAAATTTTAGTAGTTTTAAAACACTGCTAATAAGTTTGGGGTTCAAATCAAAGGTACTAATTTTTTAAATCGTATGTCGGGGATTCGAGAGATCGAGATGAAATATTCACTGTATAACATTTGGAGTAGACATCGGAGAACCCGGAAAATGGACTCTCCAGCGTGTCTGTTAACACCTCCAGAAATGTTAAGGTGGATTACGAGTTTGAATTAATTAACAGTCTTGCTGAACAGAATTCAGTTGTTCGGTCGTTATTGTAAATGTCATGAATAGTTACTAGGGCTGAAGGTTGTCAGAATTTTGGAACAATGAGTTGAGGCAGAGTGGCTTGGTTCCAGTAGATTTACTTATGAATGACTTATGTGTAACTCGTGTATTCAGCAGTCACTGGAGCGAGCGGGATGATCTAAAACCACAAACACACAATGTTAACT